ATAATAATAGTAATGTGGCATTTTAGCGCAAATATCCATAAGTTCATATGCGCTTATTAGCTTTGCAATAAGAAGATTTTTTTAAAGATTTTTTTATTTAAAAATAACAATAAAACTTGTAAAAAAGTAAACAATATAGAGCATCACATTTAAACGCAAACTAAGGCGTAGTATTGTACAATAAACAGCAATATACTCTTAGTATTTCTATGTATATTCTACTGTTCTATGTACAACAATGTACTAACTAACCATGATATACAACATATAGTCTTGTAATGTATAGGGTGTACACCTCGTTCTTGAAAACTGACTTCATATACTGTATACAATAGACATTTGCACATCGCATATATTTATAACACTAAACACACTGCTATATATACACAAATAAACACTGGGGGTTGCAGTACATGTGCAGTTATATTAAAGTGTATACCTCGCGAAATAATCGTTATTGAATTAATGATTTCACAAATTCTCTTTTAGGGAAGATACGGTTATTATTGGTTGCACACCAAAGGTTTGAATAACACTACCAACAAAAGTATCAGGAATATCCATAAAACGCTCCCGAGCAGACCCAAAGTATTTTCGATGGTGCTAAAGGCGGAAGAAATATCAGATGTATTTAAGATCAAAGTATAGAATTTGAACGGTGGAAGGGCAATGAAAAATATTCAGATTTCCCCCTAGAACACAGAAATTACCCTTAAAATATACTAATACCTATCAAAATTGCGCATTTAGTATATAATTCCCACCACCTTTTTATACTGGCTCTTATCTAAAGCACACCGGCATGTATAGGTGCACGTATTTCCACAATATAATATTTGGTTGAGAAAATAAACTCACATGTATTATTATTTAGAACCCCCCTCTGTGAAAACTACATCCTCAATTTATGTGACAAAATTGAAAAAATCAAAAGTAGAAAAAAACCTCATATCTTGGTCAATTTCAATCCATGTGAATCACACATCAACGAGAGTATTTGAATTTAGATTTCCATTAGTCAGGCGCGTAGCATGGACTTTTTATGCAGATGTCAGAGACCGCGACATATATTTTGGATCTGGGGGTCTAASGAACGCCAAAGGCGGGAGTATTAAGGGAGTCTGGTCCTCCCCCAGAAAATTTTGAACAAAATTTTCAAAATTTGAAAGAAATTTGAAAGAGTTATTGACATCGAAAATTATGAAAATTTTGAATGAAACTTAAGGCCCGCCCTCTGTTAATTAGGTAATTTTACTTTGAGTCCCCCTATCTTGCCATCAATTTTATGTAATGCCCCCACCCCCACCCCCCCTCTGGTTTTACGCACCCCCTCCTCCTGGTAATTATTTCACAGTCCTTAATATAAAGTGAGTTTCAAAGGATGAACAGGATCGCATAGATTGCTTCGCTAAGTTAAATATGTTGCCCTCTCCTTAAAGTTACAAATTTGACCAATTAGCCTCGCTCTGGGTCTCAAGCCAATAAGTAAGAGTTACATACCGAGAACGGAGGCAATCAGCCTAATACATCCCGAGGGCCGTGGGCCCGAGGGATGTATAGGCTGATTGCCGACGTTCGAGGTATGTAACTGGCTTATTTCATACTTGAAGAAGTTTTCCAAGCACTGCATTAATATTTTCATTTTTAAATAGGCAAAGAAGCCGTTTTCATATGAATTAAAAACCAAACCCTCGATTAGAAAGATTACGAAATTTACAGTATTGAAAATTCCCAACGGGAATAATTTGCAATACCAATTTTCTCGTTAGTCCCATGAGACCAATGCTAACAATACACCTTTTGTAACAAGTAACTGKACAATGTYAAATAACTGTTTTATTCCATAACTGACATCGATTAGTTAGTTAGCATAACGTGTTAAGTATAATAGGATTTTCAAAGCTAAGGTTGTGGGTTCGATTCTACTTGGTGTCATTTTAATTTTTTTTCTTTCTTTCAAGTTTAAAGTTTCAGGCGGAAAATTTCTAAGTTGAACGTAGTAGTTAATTAGGTATTCAAGGGCAATATACATTATTATTATATGGCTTAGATAGTACGCGCGCTCTGATTGGCTGTTGACAGATAATGACCGGTCGGAATTTTCCTGTAATGCCCGCTCACAGCGGTCATTATTTTTTTTCGCTAAAAGTTACACCAGCTTTGACTTTGAGTAAGACGAAGAAAAAACACACAATTTGAAACGCATTGCAAAACAAAGATATCCTTTTAGTTCGTTTACGAAAAAAATAAATGTTTGAAAATTTTTTATTTGCAAAATGAGAGACAACGAAAACTACAGTCAAAGTGAATTTATTTAACATGTAAGTTCTTGACGAGATTAGTGCGAAAGCCGACAAAATGGCTACCAAACAGACGAAAACCATTATATTTTTAGTACCAAACCGACGAAAATTACCAAATCATTATATTTTTAGTAATTGTCTGAAAAAATGCGGGAATAATGGCTCCTTATTTCATAGATTCAGTTAATTTTCATGCACAAATAAGTCTTACATCATTACAGTCTACTCACAAACTTTTCAATGATTCGTCTATCGACAAGGCCGGTGTAGGTTTGTTTGTATTAATTCTTCGATGTGGATGTCCCTCATATTGAATTACAATTTTCTTCTCTTTCTTTTGTCCAGCAACCGAGGAGTTATTGCATTGAGCAATTTGCAAAAAGTAAACTTGATTTATGTCCCACAAATTGCTTGAAAGTTTGCCTGTTTCAGCTGTTTTCATTGAGAAAGCTTGGCATTTGAACGAGTTCACACTGACTCAAAATTCCTTCAACTGGACTTCCAGGTTTTTGCTCTTTTTTTCTAGTCAACGAGCTCATTGAATTTTTAAGAGGAGGATTTCMTTCTCAGCTTTTCTTGTCAAGACACCGGTTTGAATCCCTTCGGYTTTTCACTTTTGTTTTGAGTAGTCTGTAGAGGTATGTTTTGGTTTCTTTTGAGCTTTTACATCTTGACATCGTTTTTTTCTTCCAATACAATCCTTTYTGAGCTATCTTTAAATTATGGTGAATACTTATCGAGCATTTCTAAKCTGTCWTTAGACTCATGCTTGCCGTCCTCATGAGTAACCAGTTGAGTCAACCACTTCCCTCGCCGTTCATACATCAAATCCAAGTGCTTTAAGTAGCATTTTCGGTGAAGGTAACATCAGCAAAATATCTGACTGTCCGTTCAAAATATTCAAAGGTACAGTCAAGATCCAACAACGGAAAAATCGAGGGTGACGATGAAAATTGAACATTCGCTAAAATCACTGCAAGGTCTGCACGTGTTGACGTTTTCAATCGTCTTAATTTTGACGTACTTTCCAACTATTTTTACAAACTTTTGGATGTTCTGAAACTTTTTAAGCTAAATTACCGTGTTTTGTGGAATAAAAACGGTTTTGTGACATAAATTGTGCTATATTAAACACATTTTCAAACAAACTGTTGTAATTTTTCGACACTGGACATACATTGAATGAACAAATGCGCGCGCAAGAGGAAGTGTTAAATCACTTCCGTTCTTTTATTTTGTTCACGTTATATATTTTATATTTTTTTTATTAAGAGAGCCATATAATAAATAACTTATTAACCTCGTCCGTTCGGTCATTACAGGGAAATCTCAGACCTCGGTCTTGTTTGTATGGACCTCGCTATCGCTCGGTCCATACTTCCAAGACCTCGGTCTGAGATTTCCCTGTAATGACCTCACTCTCGGTTAATAAGTAGTATGTATTCAAGGGCAATATATAGATATTGCCCTCAAATCAGGGGCAATATCTAGATATATCCCTGAAGCTTCGATATAAAGCACTTGAATACACAACGAGCTGGGGAATAAGCGAGATACAACACTATGAATAACAAAGGAAACTGAATCAAGTATGAAATAATATACGTTACCTCCCTTATCAGTGCCTGAGTTACTGCAAGCTGTCCAAGTACTACTCGTAAAAACTGATGTCAAAACATTTGGCGTTAAAGTAACTACTATATACATTAAGAAATAGTGAGACATTTTCGAAATACAATTCTTGTTTTATTTTTATTTCTAGGAATGAAATTCCGAACTGAGATTCTAACAAACAATTGTAGACATTATTTTCACGCCACTAAAAGCAATTTTACTTGACCGAATCATAGTTCACTATGACCGAATACCATTTTACAGACATTCAGATCCTTTAGTCCTATGGAAAGGCTTTTAATATAGTAATGAAAAAGCAGTTTTCTGGGAATATTAATGAGAACCATCTCTTCTTTCTGGGAAAATTTTTAATTTCTAAATGCCCTATAATCTTGCTGGTAACTACTTGTTACTTACCTAACACCCTGGGACTACTAAGAACAGATATATTTCTCCCAAGAAGCTGTTGCTGTCCCTTCCAAACCTTATAGAATCATGTCTGCCCCGTAAACCTGAAGATTTGGTCACGATGTAGAGACATTTTGTAAAGTAAATGAAGCTGGATTGAAACAAACTCCGTAAGTTGCTTACCAGTGTCGATGTTTATTTACTAAAGTGAAACAAGTAGCAAATTTCAGGGGAGGAACTTGAGCTCAAAGAACATTGCCTTCACCACTGCAGATTTCTTCAATTTTGAATCAACAATTCACTTTTAGAGCAACGGAGTGCAACGACAGGATCATTAAGTCCATTCATATTGACATGTAATTGTATGCGACCAGAACAGTTTCCTATAAGTTATGCTCTACGGTTGTACAAGGAATGTGCAAATAGCGATTGATATCAGCTTATCTTGTAAAAACATTTGGATCCTGATTCTTAAAAAATAGTTACTCCTGACGGTTACATTCATTACATATTTACTCACCGCAGATCGAACCATTACTTCGTCACATTTTATACTCATAAACTAATCGTACGATAGGCATTGTATATTATTACACATACGATATTACAGCACTATATATTTAAGAATTTACATTGATAATCTATACTCATAAACTAATCGTATACGATTAGGGGATATCGACAGGTTTTTGCATGGGAGAAATATATCTGTTCTTATGTCCCAGCCAACTGGTTGGCAGCGAGAAATTCAGGAAAAAGAACTATCCAGGCAAGGAATACTTTCTAAGAACTTTTGCCAGGAAAATGAAAAATTTCTAAGTTAATTAAAAAATATAAGCCGTTATTGACCATAAAAACTTTATATAAGTCTTTTTTGACCTTAAAAACGTTTGTCAGGATCAAAAAAGTATTCTAAAGAAGAAAAGCGCAACATTTGCTTTTGAGATTGTCAACAATGTAGCTCAAAATCCTTAACCAGGAAAAAAATCGTAGAAGAACAGTTATTTAGAAGAACTGACCCCGTCGGCTTCTCCTGTACGTTCGATATCAATAATGTATATCATTGCACATATTACAACACTATATAAGAATTCATATTGATAGTTCATACTCATAAACTAATCGTGCGATAGGCATTGTATGTCATTAGACGTGCAATATTACAGAACTATATATTTAAGAATGTACATTGATAATCTATACTCATAAGCTAATCGTACAATATCTATACAATTTATATCATTGTGCTTCCGATAGTACAACCTTATATAAGAATTCACATTGATATACATTATATTTCTAATCTTTAGTGAAATGCGCGAAAATTTATGGATGTATCTCAATTAATAGCATGGATTTGGTATTCTGAGTTCAAAAATAGACATGAAAGAGTAACTTTACTGCAAAAAGTAACTACCAGAATACCTTGCGTGTTTCATTGATATTCAGATTTTTAATCCATGTGGGCTAATTTTATAAAAGCAACAAGTTGTCAAAGCATTCTGGTAGTTGTTGTACTTCACAATGGCATAATATAATTCGCCGAAAAAATGAACAAATGAGACCCTCTTCCCGCTATCTGAAGTAAACACGGTCGTCAGCCAATCTAAAACTATATAAAGTACCGTCCATCTAGAATGACGCCGCTTTCTTCCATTAGTAAGTTTTTTTGAACCAAAACTGAAAGTTTTAAAGTTTGCATTGAAACCGAATACCGAGAAAAGAGTGTTTCTAATTCAAGGCATATGTATGTTTACCAAGCTATTATTTCATTCTCTAATCATTTAAATATGTTGTATGACAATTAAAATCATACGTGTTTCTGTTTGGACTGAAAACAGCTCATACTGTTCTCTTCTCTATTATTTGGCACTTTCTTTCACTATCTTTTATAAAACAATCAAACAAGGCTTAAATTGAGAGTTTCAATCTTAGATCAACAAAGCCTTAATGCTTTAGGCTAGTTTTAGTTGAAAAAAATACCATGAACATGCATTTGCGATGCTGAGTGTATACATAGTTCTGATCACATGCTACTTTGATCCATCATGGTAGGATCCCATATATGGGCATCCGTACAGCTCAACCCTCATAACGATAAATCCTTGCCATTGTATTGGTACAATACGGACTATTTGGGCGAGTATTGGGTTATGGAGGGCATTGTAGACGATGCTGTTGCGGTCAGAGTTACCTTTGAATTTCACTGGTTCACTGTTCATGGTGTAGTTATTGAGTGTGTTGACGGTGGAATTTTTGTATTCAAGACGGTATTCTTTTACCCAGCGGTTCGAATAACGTGATCCCTGTGTTGCAATGCCGTTAATCATTTTAACTTTAAGGAAATCAATCTGAAGCCACTGGCTTAAGTTAGATGTGGCAGATATCCACCTTCTGTTTATGTTATCCAGTCTCGCTTCTGATGGTTTATAGTAATTAGAGTATGAAGATGAAGCTGTGACCTGACTGTCTTTAATTATTCTACTTTGCATACCAAGTGCATACGAACATACTCCTGTGAAGAAAATCAATCATTCCTTCATTACGCATCACACATAAAAACAAATTAAATTTGATGTCCAAAACCGTGACTTTACATAAAAAATATTCAGAAATGACATCCGCACTTTCCCTATCCGCATTGAGTGACGTGATGAGTAGAGTCTGTCGTACGACTTCCATATATGGATGTCCTTACGCATAGCTCTCATATGCAGAAGGCTCTCATCGCCCTATAGGTGTTTAATTAATTATGAATTCAATCTTATTTACCTACACATGCTTATTCATGAATGCCTTTTTGCCCACAAAATCTCAGTATCACTAAATAAAAGCGAATTGAGAGCTCATGGTTCAATGGTTAGGTGTAGTTGAAATATAGATTCAAGTAAAAGCATAGCGCTCGTTAGAATCTTAATCCGCGTCCTTAAAAAAAATTCTTTTCAGTTTAAGTTTAAGTCTTTGAAGTTTTCTAAGTCCTTCTTCACATAATAGGGTCATGACAGTCTTCTATGTGTATACATCAGTGCCGTGTACAGTCACAACAATATATGGAAGTTGTACGACAGACATGACATCATCCAACGCTCTTTGCTTAGAACTATTCCTGTCATTACATAGCACTCAGAGGGGTTAAAGTACCGACTTCATCGAGGCGAAATGAACGAATATGACCAAGCTCCCTTTTATAAGGGAGTTCCCACTGGTAAATGACCAACCGAGCAATGATGATAATACATAAGTACTAAGTATTCTAACCTTCATCTTCTTTGCTTTCGTAAAGCTCCAT